GTGACTGGCGCGGTCATTGAGAACCCTGTCTCAAATGACTATTCACGAGAGAATCTCATCATGAGTCGAACTAAAACCTATCTAGGATCGAGTCCGCAATAAGGCTAAGAGCCGTGTATTGCATTCGCCCCCTGACAAGGGTCACAGAGGCGCGACATCAAGTCGGCAAGGAGAACATATGATTAAAAGTGCGGGGCACTCTCATGAGATTTGATGTAGACATTGCATCGCACGATGGCAATCATAGTCATACTAGGTTGATGATGAAACATCGCTCTAGATATTTAGCCAGCGTGGAGTACTTCCACGCTACTAGATCCTGGCTAGACAAACCTTCCACGCGTTCCGTTTTAGGATCGTGGAGAGACGTAGGATTACTACCGCAACCTACTCTATCACACTTTATAGTCTCCCGCGGGAAGCCAGATCTACGATCCCTTGATGATGATCTCTCTCGTTGATTAGTTTTCATAGCTTTCTAATCTCTCTCATAACTTTCATTCTCTCAAACTCAAAACACTCGAAAGATCTTTACACTAGCTTTTAGCGTAGTGCACTTGTGCATTATAAGGGCTGTAGAGTTTGGAAGGCACTTCAATTGTCATGGTCTTGGATCTGTCCATGGCAAAATGAAACGGCAATGGTCGACTCAGCCGGTAGATAGCATCTACATCAGGGTCATTGTCACAAACAGACTGGACCACAGCAATATTGGATCGCTCCAATTCTTTAATCAACAGTGGACCTCTCTGTCCCCTGGCTTCTACGCTGCTGATAAGAGACAGAGGCATTCCACGAGGCCAAGAATCCGAGACAGAGGCTCCCATGACTGGGAAAGGATTGAATGCACGTCCCTCATAGGACATGGCTGTGCTGATATGCTTGATCATGTGTCGTTCCCTGTTTTCGTCAGCAAAAACTGCCATTAGTTCTTCACCAGAAAACATGTCACCTTGCAACTCACTGCGCAGTGAGACCAAATTGTCGTCATCAAAGTCAAAAATGGTAGTGGCTCCCATCCAAATGGCGTAGAGATACCCAATATTCTTCCATGCAAAACTCCGGTAGGGTGTTTGTTCCACAAAGGGGACCATCTTGGCGAGTTGCTCCTGCGCGGGGACAGACAAGAATCGAACCTTTGTGCCGCCACCAGTGTTGTTCCAGCCAGCCATGTCCATGTAGTTTTTGGGCGTCTTGGTATCTGCCACCACCACCATGCACCATTGGGTCAGCTGATTACCAACTCCTTTGATGGCATCGGCTGGTTCATAGATTGTAGTGACCACAGCCCACTGGTTGCATGTTTGGTAGAGAGGCTCTCTTTGTAAAAAGGAGGGCAAGTCCTCTGAAGCTGTACTGTCGCCTCCTGTTTCCATTTTGCTTTTCTTCTCTTCCACTTTGGTTGGGGCTCTGGCTGTCGGACCGAATCGGCGTTGTCCATCAAATTCTCTCACGGGATCCCCCTTGAAACGACTGGCAGTGGCGGCACTGGTAGCAACATTGGTAATCACGTCCCCCAAAATGCTGGCTGTGGATGTGAGTGGAGAGGCAGCAATATTTCTGTCCTTGAAGGAACCATTGGCCATGTCAACTTGATCCTTGAAATTCTCCAGAACAACCACAAAGACCCTCCAGCTCACAAGGATTGCCAGGATTGTCACCATGAACCTCAACCGGGTGAACTTGCCAGTGTCCCCATTGTTGTTTATTGTTTTGGGAGGCATCATCTTGGTTATTTATGATAATTAGATCTGCACAAAAGGTTGGAAACCTCCTTGGGGTGGACGGCGAATTGAATTCCTTTCGCCCTTCAACCGAACACAAAATATATAATCAAGAGTGGTACAGTTGTACCAGTACCTTGGAAACGCAGGGGGGATGAGCAAACCTGCCCATGGCGCTATATTGCATTAGTTAGAGCTAGCTAGAAATACATTGAAATGGATAGCGCAATTGCAGATCTAGAATTAACTTGCTGTTGCCAACAGAGATCAATGACGTCCAGCTGTTCTTGAGCAAACCAAGTAGAGCAGACGCGCTACAGGATCAGCACAAGAACGACAGGACGTCATTGATCACAGTTGGCAATGCCAAAACAGTGATCATCCGCATGGTTGCAAGGAACCATGGGAGGGCAGCCCCACCACCACCACTCAATACCGAACTTGCCAGGGGTGGATGCTGCCGTCATCAATCCCAAGCTGGGTGATGACGGTACAGGCACCAAAACAATGCTTGTGGAGCCAAAGGTCGTGCCTGAACTTTTGGTTCAGGACGCCAAAGCTCTTCAGCATTGAGTTGATGCCCTCATGTCGGTGACGGGCATCATCCTTGGCCCGCTTGTCAGACCACGACACAAACCTCCCGGGTGTGCGGACTCGTGGGTGCAGGTAGCCGCCGTCAGCCTCCACAAGCTCATGGGGAGCCAGCTGATGCACAAGATTGCGCTTGAAGATCTTCAAATCCGGCCATGCGCCACACCGGAAGGGGCCATTGATCCAAACAATGTCACCTGTTTGAATACACACTCCTACCTCATAGCGGAGACCAGGTCCCTCAAACTTGTGGCTGAACCAACTCTTGCAGAATGGTGTTGGTTGGTTGATGGGGCAATCGGTCCCATCCAGGTGATCTTGCAAGATCGATTGCGATTGCCGAACCGACCAGTACGGAACCTGTTGGACCATTTGATCTAAAACATCATGGTTAGAATTGTCGAATTGCAAAGAACAAAAGAACAACAACAGAACTGAAAGATTTACCACTCGTGGACGCAAAGCACTGATGGAAGGAATGTACCGCCAAATCCATTTGGTGTAGGTTGGGGGAGTAGTGCCGGCAAGAGAAGCAAGGGTGCACTACGCTAAAAGCTAGTGTAAAGATCTTTCGAGTGTTTTGAGTTTGAGAGAATGAAAGTTATGAGAGAGATTAGAAAGCTATGAAAACTAATCAACGAGAGAGATCATCATCAAGGGATCGTAGATCTGGCCTCCCGCGGGAGACTATAAAGTGTGATAGAGTAGGTTGCAGTAGTAATCCTACGTCTCTCCACGATCCTAAACCGGAACGCGTGGAAGGTTTGTCTAGCCTGGATCTAGTAGCGTGGAAGTACTCCACGCTGGCTAAATATCTAGAGCGATGTTTCATCATCAACCTAGTATGACCAGAGCGGTCATTGAGAACCCTGTCTCGAATGACTATTCACGAGAGACTCAGTCATGAGTCGAACTCAAACCCTATCTAGGATCGAGTCGCGAATAAGGCTAAGAGCCGTGTATTGCATCAGGTTTGTATATAGAAACCTGACAAATCAGTGAGATCGTAAAATGTGTGAGCAAACTGGTTGACTGCTGCTACTAAAATACAGTGGTGGATGTCGAGTTGGGTTTACTATAAACACTGTAGTACTCCGTTCTGGATTTCAACCACCGAAAACTAGAGAGGCCCAATCACCAAAGAAAAAAATGGTCTACTATAGAAATTTAGTTCGATTTCGTAGGCCAAACAAAAAGAGAACCTAGTCGCCGTAAGTGACACTGGAGAGTGCGTCCATAAGTGAACGCCACAAGTCACACTCGTGGTCACGTCGCCAGATGAACTCGAAAAGACATCCCTGGAGCTGTTTTTTTGTGCCTTCGATTGTGTTCGTGTGCACCCCGGTCACCGGATCTTTATAGCCTTCCTCATGATTGACCGTTTGGTGCTCATAAGCATTAACAGTGTAGCCAAATCCAGCATCGATCTGAACATCTTCAATGCGATTATAAGCCTCCCAGCAGTCACTCCGAATTATGGAACCTGGTGCAATGAACTTCTTAATTAAGGGAATCAAGGTTCTTGCATCCCTTTTATCGACAATGACAGCAAAACAGCGATGCTCGGGAGTGTTCTCCACTCCACCGAACACCCAGGAACCTTCCACTCTGTGACCTCTGTTGTACTTGCGCTTTCCGAACTTAGACTCATCAATTTCGACAATAATGTCTACCCCCCCCCTATCTGACCATTAGAATGAGTCACAATAGACGAAATGAATTCTCGAACATACTTAAGCCAATGAGTCGTCTTTCCTTTAGACCAACTCAAATATATAGAGATCTGTTCATGTGAGGAACCAGTGAGCCAATAATATAGAAATTTGAGTACGTCGCACCTCCCCCCACGAACAGCTTCGAAGAAGGTGCCCTTATATACCGATTGACACCACTCGCTTCCGTGAGTAGACTGGCATTCACGTTTTCGACAACGAAGAACCGGTCCGCTCTTCTTATATTGAACTACACCAAGCTTTGTACTATAAAGTGGATAGTCAGTAGGCAAATTACTTAAAGCACCATTTTTTCGTAAGTAGAGAAAGCACTCTTTTTCGTCACTGAAAGCTGTCGCTAAATCTTTTAAAGGTGGTATCCCACTTTGGCGATTCAAGTTACGGTACCGGTCACCCTCAATTTGGCCACTTAAACTGCCATTGGCCACACTTTCGTTTGGCGGAATAATCCTGAGTTGGCGAACCGGAGGAGGCTCATCAACACTGCCGACATCAGAAACAACGGACGCCATCTTTGGCAAATTTATGAGTCAACAACACTGTTTCCAACATTGCGTCCATTGCATCTCACGTCCGATCAATTGGAATTTGAAGAACCAAAAGCCAGGCCTGCCCTCTAAGAAGCCAAGCAGGGGTGCGTGTTGTAAAGAGAGGAGAACGAATCCCACCAAAGAATGCCGGCGTAAATTAGTTTAAATTTTAAATTTTAAATGCATGTGACCTCCCGCTTTTCGTTGGCACTCTCGAGACCGTCTTAGCTCACTTTTTGTGTTAGAAGCACTACATGATGCCATCCATCCAGGAGATAGTTGTAGAAACAGTTGACTCTGAAGATTCAGATGATGGTGCTGCTGTTCGTGCAGTGGTTGATGAGCCGACCATGAACAACAACCAAAACGGCAACAATCTTAATGAGTCAGCTTTCCTCCCGAATGCTGAACGGGATCATGCTGGACATACCGGTCTTACAGACCATTCACGTGAATGGGAACTCCACACTTTTGCATCCAGTACTAGCAGCGACGATGATGACGAGATAGCCCACAGAGAGATTGAGGTCATGGAGGTCATGGATGATCTAAGTGACAGTGAGGTTGAAAAGGTTCGTGCCAGTAAAAGGGCAAAGCGTGATAAAGATAGTAAGCGTAAGAGGGACCAGTACCAAAACTATTTAACCGATAAAGATTCTTCCCAGAATGCTTCTAGCTAAGTCCGACGACTCTAGCGACAAAAAAGAACCTGCCAGAGACTATTGGTCTCATGATGGTTCTTTATCTAACACGAACACCTCTAAACAGAAGCCTCGTGTCCGTGGTTCTAAGGGCAGTGTTGGAGGAAATATACCTGACACCTCTTTACTATTGACTCGTGTATTAAACATCTAGTCCGGTTCGCATGCATATTCATGATGCAAGGAACCAAGGGAGTTTTAGGTCTAAAGTGTTGCGGGGGTTCTTATATCCAATTCAATCACAAGAATTGCTGAGCACCACCAGAAAATCCTCACTTTTGCTTTTCAGCTTAATCTAAAACCAAATTACTCCCCAATAAGCTGCAGTATTACTAGCAAACAACACTGAAAAGCAAAAGTCTCATCTCGAGTTCGAAACAAGATCGATCAACAGTCTCGAGATTGATATCATCAAGTTGATCCAAGACTATCAAGTCAAAGTGTATTGAGTTAACTACTGCAACAGAGGAGAGGTGCGAAGAATCAGCCTCTAGCTACACTGTAAGAGCATCGAAAGGCCTCTAACAGGAAAGAGGTGCGCGCGGGAAGAAAATCCCATCTTCAGTTACAGGTACCAGTACGTGAGATCGTCTAACAGTTTCCGGCCGGAACTACGGACATCCAAGGGTACCAGTGTAAAGAACACGCGATTACAAGGCGATTTCATACTTGAACGACGGAAATTCGGCTGTTAGCTATTCCAAGAGTTACAGTCGATTACGTCATCGTGTCATCGCGCGAGATTTCTATCAATCTCATCATAACAAGCAGAAGTCATCGTACGGCGATCAAGATAAGTCGCGACACAGGCGTTGCAAGCAAGAGGTCCCATACATCAATCGATAGAGGACATCTAGCCACATCTCTGAGTATCAGTACAATCTTCTAACTCCGAAAATTGAGGTTGATTCGAGTGATACAGTGCTACTGTGAAGAGAAACACAAAAATCCCGGTAAACCACACGGAGTCCTAAAACTCCACCGTTTGCCTGTTTCACACTGTAATACTCACTCAGTGTACTCATCCAAGCATACCAAGACCATCCGCAAGCTTTGCAGAGGCAACAAAAGGACCAACAGAGGCAGTTCGCTACTACCCAAGGATCCATACCACGCTTCACGTGAGCTGTCATCAAAGACAGAGGCTATCCAGCCAACAACAGGTGCACCAAGAGTGACCAAAAGAAGGCTATCCAGCCACCAAGCAAGCTTTTTCATAAAGCAAAGACTCATACGAGAGTCCACCGTGAGGTCCTTCCTGCAGGAGTATCCACACAGGAACAGTTCCACGAGAACAAGCCAGTTCCAAGGAACAAGCACAGCACAAGAGTGCATTACCACACCAACGGCAACCATGAGATTCCAAGGAAGAGGTGGTCGTGGTGGAGGAAGATACCCTTCAAGGGGGGGGGTAGGGGATTCAATTCCTCAGGAAGAAGCCATCAAGGAAGAGGTAACAGCTACAGGAACCAGAACAAGAGTCCCAAGCGTCAGTTCCTCTTCCATTCAAATGGACAGGCTGACACCAGGTATTATCCTTTTGAAGAGACCCTGACCCACATTGTACAGGACCTAAGGATCAAACCTGAATGGAATGATGTGCCATTGGCTTCATTGGCCATTGAGACCATGACAAGTCAGACACCAACCAAGCCGACCAAGCCTACACTTCAGATATCACTTACTGATCCCAAAGCACAAGAGTACGATGCCTTGGAACTCAGCGAGTACAAGGCAAAGTCATCCATCTATGACAAGTCGACTCGATCCTATGAGAACATTCTCAAGACTGGTGCAACCACCATCCAGGTGACATACTGTACCGACGCCATGAAGTCCAAGCTCAGAGGTCTAGGAGACTATGAGGATGCAGTCAAGCTCGATCCCATTGAGATGCTCAAGAGGATCCGATTGGTAGTGATGCAAGGCTCAACCAAAGAGTTCCCATTTGCACTACGCTAAATGCTAGTGTAAAGATCTTTCGAGTGTTTTGAGTTTGAGAGAATGAAAGTTATGAGAGAGATTAGAAAGCTACAAAAACTAATCCATGAGAGAGATCGTTGTGAAGCTCATTGAAGTTGGTCTCCCGCGGGAGGCCTCGAAGTGTGATATCGCAGGTTATGGCAATAACTCTACATACTCCACGGTCCATTTCCGGAACACGTGGAAACTTCAGCTAGTAGCTGTCTAGTAGCGTGGAAGCTTTCCACGCCGGCTAAATATCTAGAGCGATGTTTCATCGACAACCTAGTATGACTAGCAGTCATGAGAACCCTGTCTCAATGACTATTCGCGAAGGACTACGTCATGAGTCGAACTCAAACCCTATCTAGGATCGAGTCGCGAATAAGGCTAAGAGCCGTGTATTGCATTCGCCCCCTGACAAGGGTCACAGAAGGCACGACATCAGTCGGACAAGGAGAACATATGAATTAAAGTGCGGGGCACTCTCCGGAGATTGGATGTAGACATGTGCGTCGCACGATGGCAATCCTACAAGGGGATCAGGCCTTGTATGGGTGTAAATACCTTATGTTCCAAGTCTGGTAGACTGTGCCGCCATTGGCGGTAGCATGTCGGAGCCGTACAGTGCCATTGTTATTGACTCGGTCCATATTGTAAGGACCTTTGTACTTTGGCTGACCGTGCTTGCGGTGCTGATACTGTTGAAACCTCACAGTATCGTTGACATTGTATTGATGAGGGACACGCGTCGCGTTTTCCTTATCAGTGTGTTTCTGGATGAGTCGTTGGCGACGTTCTTTGATGTGTTTCCAGTTTACTTCGAAACGGACGTTGTGAATCGCGTCACGATTGAACACGTGTGGTAATGAACTTGCGACGAAGTCCATATTCATCCCGGAGTGTCTTCTCGACTTCTGCGCGGAACTCACGTTCGCTATCCATGATAACCTCAGCAGGCCATGGATACTGGGTGAGCCACGTCTGTTCTAGAACGATGGCTACTTCGTCTGCTGCATTGGAGCAGATCTCGGCATCTCGAACCAACCATTCGTGTTACGGGATCAATCATTGTCAAGCAATGAAATGGACAGGGATTCTTTTTCTAGGATCCCGACGTTGTAGTACATGTGATCGTCTGATCCATATGTCTCGATAGTAGTTCACTAGTCCAATGAATCTACCAAGTTTCTTCCTGTTCGAGGAGGAGCGATATTCTGATCGCATCTATTTTCTTGGTTAGGGTTGGATTCCTTCTCAGTTTCCAGTAGCTTAGGTACTCAAGTTCTCTTCTTTCGAAGAAGGACTGGTAGCATTGATCTTAAGTCCGGCTTCTCGAAGCCTTAGGAGAACTTCATCTAACTATTCAACGTGATCTACTAGATCGCCGTTAGTTAGGATGAGTTGATCATCAATGTATGCACGGACATTTTCCAAGTCGTGCATGAGTGTTCCCATCTTCCTTTGGAAGATGTCGGGACTATTGCATAGGCCCATCGGTACTCGTTGGTATTCGTATTTCCTGAATCCGTCTAGATTCAGTAGCATGTCTTGTATCCTTGGGATCGGACAAGGTTTTTGCTCAATCCTTTTGTTCAGTTCCCGGACGTCAGAGATGAACTGTATAGATCCATTCTTTTTGGGAATGATAAATGTCGGTGTCGTCCACTCGGAACGGTTTACCTTCGTAAGTGCTCCTGCGTCGCAGAGACGTTCGACCTCTGTCTTAAGAGTGTTGGTATGGACACGTGGAGTAGGGTAAGCCCTAGCGTGATAGGGTTTAGCGTCAGGACGAAGTTCTACTTCGTAGTCGTCCATTTGTCGCTTTCCTAAAGTACCTTCGAATTGGTCGGAGCACTTGGTTAATAAGGCATGAAGCGGTTCCTGCTCTTCTTATTTACCTGGTTTTGACTCTGGCATATCTGCCTTAAGTCAGGTTGTTCGTATTTCGCGTCAAGAGTCCTCTTGAGACGATCTGTACTGTCGCTGACAGCTGTAGGATCATTGAACTTGATTCTTAGATCGGAGAGAATGTCTCGACCTATGATCATGTCATACGCCCCCAAGTTCTTGGTGGCGTGCAAGTTCCATTCGATAATTCTATCATTGTGGAACTCAGGAGTCATAAGTGCACCCTTACACTTCGTGCTGGGGTTTAATTCCTTTACAGGGGTAGTCCATAGTGTTTGGACGCCCCCATGATCCTTCATGCTTAATCTCTTAGCATGAATTTGGGTAATCAAGGTTCCGGATGCTTCTGTATCCAGTAAGCAACGGAGTGTAACGGGTTTTTGTTTCCCTTTTTCTCGTCTGTTGAATCTAACATAGACGATAGTTTTGAGGTCTCTTGTCTTGCGACGTTGACGAGGTGGTTGGCCACGGACGAGGTTAACAATGCTGGATAGATCGTCAGAATCTAGTTGAGCAGTTTCTAGGCAATTATCTAATTTGCCGTAGACTTCATCAGTTGCAAACAATTCTTGTTTACTAGTTAGTGAGATATCTTCATCACTTAGGTATGAGAAATCGGAACATGGTTCCGTTGAATCATCATCCTGGCCTAATCCTCAGACGGAGATCTCTCCATCTGAATGATTGAAGTCGAAGTCGGCAAGAGCCTTGTCGACTGCAGCCATTTTCTTGTCCATCATGTTGAGGGACCCGACAGAGGAGTCATCCTCGTTGTCAGAGTCGTCCGACTTGCGTTTGGCAACATGGTTGCATTCGCTTTTCTTCTTGCGATCCGCCTTGACCGCAGCGTTGGAGACTTTCTTCATAAGGACCGAAAGTTCCTTCTTGGTGTAGGACTTGGCGTCGTCAGACTTGCGTTTCCAAGTCTTGTTCTTGTTGTACGCTGGCTTGCTATCGTTGTCAGACGAGGACTTGGCTTTGAGTTTCTTCAGAGTCATGCAATCAGCAGTATTGTGAGTGCTGGACTCGTGGTAATCACACCACTTTTCTTCGCTCTTGGAAGAATGGTCGTTGTTGCGAGTAGACTTGTACTTCTTGCTGTTGTTCTTCTTCGAAGGAACTTGCTTGGCATCACTGCCTTTGTCAAAGTCTTCAGCGGATTCCATGCGCTCACAGAATCCAATGAGCGCTGTCATCTCGGCAGTGAAAGGATCGAAGTCGTGTTCGTCCATCTTGCGCATCCAGGAACGAGGAATGCCATGACAGATGATGTCGATGAATTCGTCCTGGTTCAACTGTTGATTGGCACCGAAAGGTGGCAAACGTGGAAGCTCATCGGTATTCATCCGAGTGAGGTTGTTGATGTAGGCGCGAGTTGTCATTTCGCTAGGCTTACGCATCTTGCGACGCATGAAGCGTTTCTGTTTTTCGAGAGCCTTGTAAGGGCAGGCTGCTTCGATAACCGCGTTGATTCCAAAGGTGATGTCAGCATCGCTTAGAGCGGGTTCCGCTGCACCGTCCCATGCGGCTTGGACACGAGCTTGGAATTGGACTTCGGTTTCTCCAGAAGTCACATCGCGTGGAGGAATTGCGTTCACAGCAATTTGTCGTAGGGCGTGATGACACACTGCACGATGGCCTGCACACCCAGCTTCGTAGGCACTCTTCGCAGAGCTGGAAGTCATCTCATTGAGAAGGCGATGTTTGTCGTCGGCATTGGCAAGGTTGAGTCCAACGAAGACCTTCTCCATATTCGTAGCCCACTTGATGGTCTGACGCGGAGTGTTGGAACCATTGATGATGGCTACCTTGAAGGTATATTTGGCACTGTTTGCATCTGCAGGAACGGTGCGAAGTTTGTAGGTGGTTGCACGAGAATCGTCGATCTCGGCGTCTTCGTCGTTGTCCACGAGAGGAAGAATGGGTTTGTCACGCAACTGTTTCTCGAAGTTGGTGAACGCATGCTTTCCTTGAGCAATCTTCATGGTGAAGGAATAGGTTGAGGGTAGCTGAAAGCTATTGTGTTTGTTAACAAAATGCACTACGCTAAAAGCTAGTGTAAAGATCTTTCGAGTGTTTTGAGTTTGAGAGAATGAAAGTTATGAGAGAGATTAGAAAGCTACGAAAACTAATCCATGAGAGAGATCGTTGTGAAGCTCATTGAAGTTTGTCTCCCGCGGGAGGCCTCGAAGTGTGATATCGTAGGTTATGGCAATAACTCTACGTACTCCACGGTCCATTTCCGGAACACGTGGAAACTTCAGCTAGTAGCTGTCTAGTAGCGTGGAAGCTTTCCACGCCGACTAAATATCTAGAGCGATGTTTCATCGACAACCTAGTATGACTAGCAGTCATGAGAACCCTGTCTCAATGACTATTCGCAAAGGACTACGTCATGAGTCGAACTCAAACCCTATCTAGGATCGAGTCGCGAATAAGGCTAAGAGCCGTGTATTGCACATTGCTACAATACATCAAGACCATCCAACGTGGTTTGTTCCCAAAACAAGGAGACCATGACAGAGTTGACTTCTACTTGAGAAAGGTCGACAGTGACGTGGATCAAGTGTATGACCTGGTCGGAACGGAGTTCATTCATGCCAGGACTATCGGATTGGCTGAATACAAGGCCGCATCGGGTCACGACGTCCAAGAGAAGGTGCTAGTGACGGAAAGGGCTAGGTTGAAAGCAACCGTGGGCTACCATGGCCTACAGGAAGGACGATACGGCGACTATCAGAAGACCGTTGAGGCAGCCTATGCCATGGATGGATCAATCCAGTTTCCTTCTACCCTGGATCATCTCAGAGAGATATTGTCCAATGACAGGTTCAAGCCAAGCAAAGAATGGTTGGAACAGCGGAAGGGCAGGGAACGGAAACCATATTCCAATCCCAAGCCACCTCCTTTTGATCCCAAGAAGATGAAGGAAGGGCTTCCAGCTGCTGTCTTCTACCAACAGTCACAGCCAGGCGAAGCCTGCTACTGTTGTGGAAGCCCAGATCACAAGCTTCCGCAGTCAAGTCCAAGATTCCCAAACCTGAATGGGCGATCAACAAATTCAATGGCATGAAGAAGTCCTTCATGCCGCAGTATCATCAACACCAGATGCAGCTGCTCCAAGGAGTGCCAAACACAGTGGTGACGGCACCAGCTCCAGCTCCAGCCGGAGACTCTTCGACCAGGAGTGGATTCAGTGGAGTCCCTCCACCTCCTACGAGCCAGTCGAACTTTCAGCAGTTTCCCATGTCAAGCCAAGCCTCCCAGGCCAGCGCGGCAGGGTCATTGCAGTTCCACTTCCAGCACCATCAAGTCGACGGAGTCCCGCCCCTGATGGGCAGAGATGACTCCACCACCAACAGTGAGCCGGAAGATTCCATAGACTGGGGAGCATTCGCTACCGACTTCCTTGGAGGCATCCCGCTCTATGCAGAGGAGTGGAAGCATGATGAGACATCATCCGAAGAAAGCTATCACTCCGGCTACGGCCATGATCAGCTTGCCGAGGGAGGTCCTGACGGTGAGTGATCCCTCGGGATGGCCAAGACGATGATCAGAGCTGCTGTTCCGACTACAGCTCGGATACAGAGAATGAATTTCGCTGCTTGTACCGTGCTGGACCCAGTCGGCGTCAGCGGGAGAATCAGCGAGGCAACTGTTATGAAGATTTCCAAGACCAAGACTCACTATCAGTCGAAGAACAGCACCACCAAGTTGCGTTTGAGTTCCCAGGAGTGGCAGATGCCGAACTCACAGGAGTGGCAGAGCCAAATCTTGCAGGAGTGTCGGTCAAGAGCCTCATTCCTGATGGACCCAACACAGTTTATCTCAACAGTGGCAGTTCCATCCGAACTGTCATGAATCAGGACATGATTGTCCGCCAGCGGCTCTCTCCAAGACCAATCGAGATGGCCACAAACGTTGGAAGCACCAAGCTTACCCAAGAAGGCGACACCCCTTATGGCAATGGTTATGCCAATCCAGG